AACGAACGCGAGAACATCGGGGTGAGCGCGACTCGCGTGTCGATTCAATCAGAGAACAGTCCTGTGTTGTTCGTCGAGACTGTAAGACCCCGGGGTTGGTTCGTCGTATATTATCGTTGCGCGTTCGCACGCGGATTTCAATTCACCCGCTTGGGAAATCGAATACAAAAAGTGTAATTTGCCCGGCGCGGCGGGCTGCGCGCGCGCGCGCGCGCGCGATCTCGTTTTCGGACCGCCGCGGCCGCGGCGCCCCCAATAATCGTGCTACGTACGTGAAACGGCGCGGCGTTCACCAACACGTGTTAATTGCATGTAAATATTTCAACGTATAATTACGCGCTGACACGTTAAAATACCGACGTTTTAATCCGTCCGTCAGACGGTTGTTCGGAAGGCATTCACGGTGCCGCGGGGAGAGATTGTTTCTCTGGCATTTCTTCCCTCCCTTCTCCCCTCCCCCTCCTCTCTCTCTCTCTCTCTCTCCCTCTCTCTCTCCCAATTTACCTCAAGAAAGCAGACACCGTTATGCATGATGATATTGCGCAGGCAGAAAGACGACCCGAGAGAGCATGCGATTCCCTTCGGGGGTTGATGCGGATAACGAATCAGTGTGCGGTCGCGCAATCGAGAAGCAACCGTACAATATCCATTCCGCGTATCAAGTTCGTGCCAGGTGGTCATTGCCGAATAATGTATGAGAGCAGAAAGAACAAAAGAGACACGCGGCAATCAAAGAGTCTGGCTCTCATGACGCTCGTGAGGTGAAAATTTCATCGACGCTCTTTCTATCTCTGTCTCGCTCTCTTTCTCGTCGCAACGTCGCGCGATGTCTTGAAAGTTCGCGTTACACTCCGCGTGAAACCTGTTCCCCACCGTTCGTTCGCGAGGAACTCGAGGGAGCTCGAGCTCGCAGAATCCACCGTCGAAATGTAAGACTGCGCTAATGCGATTCTCGAAAAATTGACACGCTTACGGCTCAAGATTCGCCCCGACGAGGGAGCGTCGTAAAGCGCAAATGCGCTCGTAAACTGTGCGAAATGTGGCGAGTTACAGTCGTTCGCGCACGAGAAAACACCTCACACCTTGACACAGCGAAATATACACTTTCTCTCTCTCTCTCTCTTTCTCTTGCACGCGCCCACGCGAATTCAATACTACCCTCCGCCTGTTCACCTTATCTCGCAGCTCCTGTGATTGTTCGCGTCTATTTCAAGCGATACGAGATGTAGCACGTTAATTAATACCGTACAACGTTGTATCACCGTAGTCCCGGTCCGCTTATAATTAATGCAGTAGTGGTCTCTTCGTCGAGCTAATTACACAGATATAAACTTTCATACGACGCGCGTGAGACGAGGACACCGTTAAAAGTTTGGCCGATGCGGCCGCGTTATGTGCGCGGACGAGTCGCGAAAATGGGAAGAAGTTCGGAACGACTCCGAGACAATTCGGAGTACAGGGATCTCGCTTGTAAGAACGCGTGCGCCTATTTGCATGCCGTCGGTGTAGGGCTCCGGGGGTTATGTATTACCTTCCACCTCGCTCGTTCGTCATTAATAATCTGAATCCCATTAACGGGCAACGCACGTTTAACCGAAGCTGCGTCGTATGCGCGAGAGCGAATTTTATATGCGTATGTATGTACGTACATACATACATACGGTCTCCGCGGTTCTGAATGTTGAAGAGAGAGAGAGAGAGAGAGAGAGAGAGAGAGAGAGAGAGAGAGAGAGAGAGAGAGAGAGAGAGAGAGAGAGAGAGAGAGAGAGAGAGAGAGAGCGCGAAACGACGAATTTAATATTTCCTGACGCGAAAAGCGTAGAGAAAACGCGAAGAAAAGACTCGGAGAAAAACAAAGGAGCACGATGTCTACAGCTCGAAGTAACGGCACACGGAATAATATGTTGTTAGAGTGCGCCGAGACGATTTACATAAACTGATTATCCCCGCCGGCGGACGGATAGGAGCTTACGGTTGTCTTTAAGTAGTTCAAGTCAATCACTCTTCGTACTCGTCCGACACCGGGCGACTGAGAATAAACAGCTGGAACAGCAAGCTCATGGATCTCGCATTAGAGGGCAGCTGAAACTGCCGTCTTATTAACATTATTGATCGTGAGACAAGAAACAAGTCTTTGTCACTGTTAATGAAGCCGCCCGCCGCGCTCCTGTTGCCTTCCACGGCATCCGTCAGGATAAAAGCAAACAGTTTTCCGCTCTCGTTACCACGCGGAAAATGTTTCGCCGATCTCAAGTATTTAACAACGCGACTACAACACCCGCTAATGAATTATTAATCTTCTTCAACTCGGCGCGAGTGATGTTTATTTTAACGCAGCTTATGCATCCTCGTTCGGGATGATTCACGCAAGATCCGCGGTATCTCGTCGTTTCCTCTCTATTCTCCGCTCTTTTTGCATCTTTTCCTTTTTTCTTACCCGCCGAAACAATGCCCGATATAGTAAATGTCAGGGAATAATCGCTCCCGCCGGCGCCGGCGCCGGAAAGTTTGCCGAATGAAGATACCAAAAGGATATTCGTTGTGACGGAAATTCCTCTCACGGCATGTTCGAGCTCGGGCTCGTCCGAGAATATTTTGCATGCTTGATAAAGAAGGACACATTAGAGGCTCGTCGATCGATAGATGGCCGCGCATTATATTCCTATAGGAATTTTAATCCCACGGGAGGAACTCGTCGCTTCTGACTAACGTGTTTAGGCACGACGCGATTTCACGTGCGAAATTCCGCGCTAATAACGATACCAAACAATCTAGGATACGACAATTATCCGAAGTATGATGAGTGCAATAAATTCGCGGTCGCAGCAAGCCGGAAACAACGACTCGCAAGCAAGTCTCTCTCTCTCTCTCTCTCTCCCTCCCTTGTCTCGTCAAATCGAGAAAACGATACCGAGTTCATCCTTAAAAACCGGAATACGCTCCGGGACAGCCTTGTGCGACAACGTGCGCGGCGCGTGTGCAATTCACATCGCATGAAACAACTTGTTTCGCTCAACCCATCGGCGCACTCCCACTTAGAAAGATTGAATTCCAAGCAGTCGCGGAGCAACGAGCGAAATGTTCCGGCACGCTGTTTGCGAATGCTCCCTGCGCGACCTAGCGCCTCGCCCGAGAGATTGCTAAGTTCAGCAACGATTTATAGATCGCGATATATCGCGGCAAACGTAGCGGCGCACTCGCGCGCTGTGTTTTTTTATGACGACCGATACTGGCAAATGTAACTGGCAAACGTTGCGTTCCGCATCGCAATGCGCCACGTCGTGCCGCGGCAAACCGAGCTGCTATCTTTGCAAACACAGGTACGGCGAGATATTAAGAGGTAAGCGCGCGTAAAATGTTTTCGTCGGCGTTTTTAATGCAACTCCCCCGTAAAATATTAAGTCGCTTTGTCCCGCCGAAGGTACGTAGAACTCGCGCGGAGGGGCGCTCGCTCCCTCGCTTTATCGTCGTTTTATCAACGACGACCGTCACATTATCTAACGAGCTTAAAAAGGAGCAAGGTGAATCGGGAGCAGGAATCGGGATAAGAGCATCGTGGGTAAATTTCTTTCCTCGCGGCACACACACGCACGCACATACAGAGGCAACACACGGGTATACACACACACACACACACACACACACAGAGACGCAGCAGAGGGAAACTATTGTGTCAACGCCGGTATTTGCCGACTTTATGGCGAAGTGTTGCTTGACTTTGGTCGCCTCAGCGATATCAAGTTCGAGACTGTTTCAAAGGGCTGCAACTATCAGTTTGTACCGAATGCTGTCTCGCTGCGTCTGTACATCGGCGATTAGATCCTTTAAGCTCCCGCGCGGATGTACATCGATCGGGAACTGCGCCGTGCACGAAGAAACATTACGTCAAAGCGCGCACTTGTCTGTCGGAATTACCGCGAAACGCGTCCCGCAAGCAGCGCTGTATAAGCTGCGGAGATCCGAGAAAATTGTTTGTAAAGATCGTCACGACGCGTAGCGGATCTGGCGGAGGTGGCGAATAACCTTCGCAAACCATTGCTGGCTAATTCGCCACTTCGAGCATAAATCGCTGCAGTTCACGGCGTTATCGTGCACGAATCAAAAGTCGTGGTAATGATGATAATAATGATAATAACAATAATAACGATATTTATAATTATGCTTCACACGCAATGTAGCCGCGCGCTTCTGACAATTGTAAAAGCGCCGTTCCATAAATGATCGCGAAATATACAAATAAATTGCAAATTATGTATATCTCCTCAACGCGCGAGACTCGTTAAATAAATAGACAATTTGGTCGAATTTGCGCAAACATGTGCGGGGAATTTGTTTACATGCACACGCACACGCGAATACAATAAGCATTGAGTTTCGCGCAATAACCGTCATCGGGCTGATAGAGTGGCGCGATCGCAAAATTAAGAGGAAAATATCTCACCGCTATCTACGGAATTTCCTTTGGGAGAATTAGGATGAACTAAGTGTGCCGCATAGTGGCTGCGCATGAGAAAGGGAACGGGTGAGCCGACAAGGTCTTCATAAAACAGTGCCGAGTGTTTGGCTTTTAGAAGATAACGTGATGCCGCATACATTGGAAATATTATTTATTCCCGAGTTTCTTTAAACGTGGAATGTATGAGGAAGGGTGGCAAGAAAGAAGAGAGGAAGAGTTTGCAAATTGAAACGATATTACAGAACCAATATTTATTTGTTCCACGGTAACAGCGCAAAGAATATAAAACAGGAAAGAGATTTGTATGTGACAGGAAGATGTATCCCTCGGGATTAATTACAATATTATTATCTCCCCCCCTCTCTCTCTCTCTCTCTCTCTCTCTCTCTCTCTCTCTCTCTCTCTCTCCCTCCCTTTCTCTCTCCCTCTCTATCTATGTCAATGAATCTACACAAGTCGCACGAGTTGCGCACGAGGTCAAATTTGTCGGTGAATCCGCGCGTCACTTCAAATATGCTCAAAGATGGAAACACGTAGCACTCACCTTGAGAGTATCTTGTAGATTTTGCACCCTGCAGTGCATGTAGACTTGAGCACCAAGCTGCACAGTAATGTTGCTCTCCGGATCCTCGAAAAATGGCCTCGGTTCAGGAGTGCCACTTGTTTCAGTCACGAAACTTTCCACCTCGTAAACCTACGGATAAAGATCGAAATCCGTTTTGCGCTTTCTGTTACTCGATGCGTATTCAATGCGCTCGTAATGTAATCTGAAGAAACCATATCCGGCTTTTAAAGTGGCACGAACTACTTGTAACTACCGTTAATTCAAAATATATATATATATGTGTGTATATACGCGCGTGTGCGCACCACACCCACACACACACACACACACACACACACACACACGCACACAACGTTTCATGCAAAATGCAGTGAACGATGAATACGAAACACTCAACGGTGAACGCAAAAGGTTATTCGAATTGCAAATTCCGGTAATATACATAGACTTTGCATTCACGATAAATACACGTTTCGTGGCGAGAATTGTTCAACAGATGTAATAAATGTTGGTGTGAAATTTTTCAAATAGTGTCACATCGATCGTACCGTGTACAACACGAGTCGGTGCGTTATTTAAAAGACTAATTTCAAAAATCTTCTTCTCGAAATTGGATATATCGTTTCATATTCGCGTCGCTTCAAGATTTATAACCCAAAAGTAAGTTTTACTTACTAGATCCGTATGCCCAGACAAGCAATTTTCACGATAATTTTTGTTACGATATAATAAAATAGAATGCGAGCTCTGAAATTTCTGATCTCTCGTTAGACGTTAGAACCTAATTCGAGTAAATCCGCAGAGTTTAATAATACGTAGGACTAACCTCTGTGAAAGGTGAACTGAGTTCATGCCAAAACGAGCGCGGCAGGTTTTCGAACCCTGGAAACGACTTTGCACCTGCAACATAATTTAAAGGATATTTAAGTATTTATACATAAATGATAACAATTTTATGTTGTACTGTCCGCGTAAACCATGAACGGATTTCACAGCCTGTTTTATTTTGAGGACGTGTGACAATTTTATGCTGGAAATTCCGCGCTCAACGCGCGAGAGACAGATTCAACATGGAGGTGCAAAAACTTATCGCCGGCGGTTTTAGGGATGTAGCGAAACGAAGTCTCCTGAAAGTCTACATAAACTAAAGACTGCGTTGTATTACGTATACTGCGAGGAAAAAAGAAGAGAAGAGAAGGATAATACGGATCGTATATAAGACCGAAGAGGATTTCATTTTCCACCCCCCGATCCACGACGGGACGGAGCGAATCCCTTTACTTGCCGACACTTGAATGGCCTTATCAGCAAGAAGCACACGCGACTATGTAACTTCCTGAGACGATACGCACAAATATATTCACCTTGCAAAGTTTCACAACCAATGGCAAATTTCTCAATAAGCCGCGCGCGACTGCAGACACGCGAAAATTTTAATAATCTCTTCGGAAAGGAAAGAGAAAAAAGAAGTGAGAGAAATGCGGTATTACGGAGTAAAAACGTGAGGGATTTTCTCATTTTCGTCATTTCATCGTACACACTTTAATCCTGATTTTCATCCCCTCGCTCACTTTTATCAAGATACACTTTAATTACACGAGTGCTCGCGCTCATCTTGCGATGTTAGAGAGAAAGAACATTATCGACATTTCGTAATTCTCTTTCACAAATAATCGATGGTCAATAAACCGATCAAAGAGAGAAGAGCATCCGACTGCTCCTCTGGCTGGGCTGCGCGAGCCTTTGGCGTAAGAACATTCGTATCTGAACCCCCGCGTAAAAATTTCAAGCAATTTAAAGCCATAGTCCGCTGGTGGGAGTGACAGGGGATCGATTCGACAGAATTGTCTTTCGCATGCATCGCGGTCGCATCGATGTGCGTTCACACGCGTATACCGCGAAACGCTCGTCGGACGCGACTCCGCGGACGCCGTAATTCCCGCGGCGTCGAAATGAGCACGTCCGCGTACCGGCAAAATCTAACATAGATTCGCGTCGGCACGTCTATCTACCTGTTTAAACGCAAAAACGCGGACGCGTTCGACACGCGAGAACGCGCACGCAGCCGTTGTCGGCTTGCTTTTATTGCACGCCTCTCTCCCTCCCTGCCCCTCTCTGAATAAATAATTCCGTAAAAATTCCAGATAAACACGCACGGCGAGTAAGTAAATGTTCCGTTACGCGAGATGTTTCGCGAACAATGCGCGTATTACGCGCGTATTATGCGCGCATATTCGCCTCTAAGCGGATTGGACCCTACTACCTTTCTCTCTCGGGGACAGCGGGAGGAAAAAGAGGGACCAGAAAAGATCTGGAAGCGGAGTAACGAGCACGCGATGAGAAGCAGAGACGACTACTTGAAGAGCTTCTCCGCAGTACCGAGCGCAGGACCTATTCCCGAAAATGGCAATTTGCCGGAGGCTGAAATAAATGATCCGAAACTTAATGGCGACGGTACGAGACGGCACGGCACGGCACGGCACGGCGCGAGCGCGGGCGCGGCGGCGGGGAATCGCGCGATGATACGACGCGTAGCACACGCGCATCGCATTTCGCGAGGCTGTTCGCTACAATTTCCGCGACCGCGTCATCTCCTTCCACATCCACCTCCGCGAGCGCGCGATCGAAGACAGCAGGCGGTCTTATAAGCATAGCTTTACATAGCTTGGCACAGTGCGCGCGCGCGCGCGGGTCGAACAGAAAGAGGTAATAAAGCCAGTTTCCAAGCGAATCGTCGTTTTTTCGGGACAATACCGGAAAACCGTGCAATCTCGTCTCTTATAAAACCCGCGTCGCTGGAGGAGACACAAGCGGAGTGTTGAAAAATAAAGGAGAGACCGCGGTGGAATCGTGGAGATACCGCGCGCGCGACGGCGGACATTGCAATATCTCTCTTCATCAAATTCGACCATTCAAACGGTCCTTGTCGTTCTACGCGACGATCGTCTCCTCGTCTGGAGACGAGAGAGAAGGCGGAACGGGACGGGGCGAGCAGACGAAGCGAGACGCAGCTTGGTTCGACTCTAGGGCTTTACCAGAGAGCGGAACCCCTCCTCCTCCTCCTCCTCCTCCTCCTCGTCTCCACGCTGGTGGATCCGAGAAATCCCGACGATGTGAAAGATGCGCCCCGAAAATTATTTTCTCAGCTGATCGTCCGCGCGGTAACCCCCAACCTCTGTACTCTCTTTCACCTCGCCTTGACGAATCGTCTCACTTTCCGTCTGTTTCTCTATCTCGGCCCCAAGGTCCCTCCACCTAACCATTTCTCGCGGAAGGATAGGATAATCCTCGAGAGATGTATCTAGCAACGCCACGACGAAGGGCCACCACCACCCCCTCCCGTTACACCAATTTAACAAGTTGAATTCTCCCGCGCTGCACAGTCACCCCGGAAAAGGAATGAGGCGGACGGACTTCTATCTAATATCCGCGGGAAAGACGAAGCACATAATCTCCACGGGCGAGGGGGGGGGGGGGATAAACCCGGTTACCAGTCAGGATTCTGAAATACGCTTCAGATACCACGTCCGCGGACGTGGATTACGCTCTCGACGAGAGGTAACGCGCGCGCGCGCGAGAGAGAGAGAGGCGTTGTATCGATGGATGATTCGGCAATTCGCTCGAGAATTCCCACGCTCTCTAAAGTACGATCGGTGTATTCTTCATTGAAACGCTGTAACATTCACTTCCAAGCATAGCGTTGCAATCTCGCTGAAAGGCTCCGCGCTGAATGTAGCAGTTAGCGCGCGTTTCTAGTATCTATCTATTTATTATATTTATTTATTTATTTATTTATTTATATCGATGCACTCTTTGCAAACACAGACGCTGCTCGTGATCGCTCGCGAAGCGTATGAAAACTGCCGAAAGTTGGATCCGCCGAGAGTTGACGTGTAACGAGTTTACGTCCTCTCTCGAGATTTTGCAAATAAAATCTTACTTCTTCACCGGTCAAGATCAACGAGATGTAAGACGGAGTGGTAAAGTGGGAGTGTTTCCACCAAGAGTCAGTGAATGCTCACTGATTATCGGTGAAATACTCCTTTCGCTGATCCGATCGGAAACATTTTTACCGATTCACTTCAAGAGAGTAAATCGACGATCTCGAAGGAAACTACGGGCTGGCTCCGGAGTGAAGTGCAAGAGTCGAGAGTCGAGTCATAGCCAGAGACGATTAAGATCTCAAATCGTGGATTTCTCCGGCGGCAAACGCGACGCTCGGATACGTAGTCACGTAAAAAGAATTAAAGAAAAAAAAAAAGAGAAGAGAGAGAGAGAGAGAGAGAGAGAGAGAGAGAGAGAGGGAACGAGAAAAGGAAATATGTAAAAGCTGAGGAAAGGCGTTGGTGCAGAACCGGTAAATTCTCAAAGTCGCCTCGTTATGATATATATTTTCGCGTTACAAAGACACGGCGTGAGCCCGGGCGGATCCAACGCGCGCACCGGAAGTGCCCTATATTATTTCTGTCAAAGGAAAGCAGACTTTCGTACCTCCCGAGAAGTATCGTGATCAATTGCGCGATTTTCCTCATCGTTCTTCCTCCCCTTCAATTTCAGCATTTCAACCGGCGATGTAAGAGCCGCCTCGAATCTAAAAGTACGTAGGATCGACCGCGGTTTGTCGCTCGGTACGGCGTCAAATTTATGGAAGCCGTCGGTGCTCGTGAATTTATGAGAATCCAATGCCTTAATTGGAAAATTATAGGACAATGTCTGGCGGCCGACCGTTCGGCCCGCGCGGCTCGTTATTCAGCCGGCTATAATCTGGTTTTCCCTTCGAGAACTGCGCCTGAATATTTTTCACCGGCAACAAAGACCTTCTTTCTGGCCATCCGCGGTGCGGGGAAGCGAATATTGGTGCAAAACTACCGAACGTAAATACATTGAGTTCGCTTCCAAACCGTCTCTCTCTCTCTCTCTCTCTCTCTCTCTCTCTCTCTCTATCTATCTCTCTCCGATCTCTCCTTTCATTAGTTTTACTCGATCGCGCGTATCACCACCTCCCCGCCGCCTTTTTCATTTATCCGAAATAATGACCCGTCTCTTCTCCTTCGGCATTTCGCCCGAGTGACATCAAACTCCTTTTATTACAACTTACCCAAAGAGCTGGCGGCGCACAGGAAGTGTATCTGGTGAACCAAAATGGAGGCCACCACGGCCGAAAGACGACTCAACATCGTAGTCGATCCTCAACTCATCTCTGTTCCCAAAGTTGGTACACAGCAGCACCGTTGTCTATCTGCAAACACACGAGAAACGCGCGCTCGTTCAAAATGCAGCCTCCACCGGCGAAAGAGATCGCCCTCGCGCGGGTGTTTTAGCAAGAAGCGGTAAATAAACAATTAACGCGAGTCGCGATCTCCTGCTAGCCAAATTAATCGTCGTCCCTGTCGGGATATTATGGGCGCAAAAACGGCCAGGCGCATAAAACGGTGATCAATCAACGAGTATGTGGTAATTAGCAAGGCACAAAGCGAGACCGTCAAGGGTCATTAAATACCGGCTGGTGCTTGAACGTCAAACGGGCCTGCCGAACCGCACGACTCCCTCCGGACTTGAGGCGAACTTCCTGTTTTCTACCTCTGTTCTACTCGAGTTCGCGGTATACACAGAGTGTCCCTTCATTAATGAGATCAGCGCGTCGTATATCCTCAAGGTGCGCGGCCAGAAAATCGCGTCTCTTCGAACGTATCGCAATACGACACCTCGCGCAAGGACTCGACGCGCAAGCGAGGCTTCGCGTGTACCAGGCGAAGCGACAACGGAGGGAGAGAGGAGGGGGAGCGCGGGTTGAGCTAAAAGTGCACGAAATAAATTTTTCTATCGCGAACTCGCAAACACGAGAGTAGCGCACAGATTGAAGAAAAAAGGAAAAAGAAGAGAGAAAGTGAGAGTGGGGGAGAGCACGATATGATATTTACTTCAAACGGAGAACGCGTTCCGCGAGATCCGACGCGGCTCCGGGGATCCTACGTTAATTTAATCAGAATATGCGCCGTAAACTATGAATAATACATTTACATATTATTATTTGGAAATGCGCGGCATAAATTGTACGAGTTGTTTACGCTCACCCGCTAATTCATAACGTTTCGCTTCCGCGGAGGCAGCATCTGGAGCGACGCGATGGTGTCTGCGCTCCTCACTCTACCTACGTCCTGTCATTGCGTTACGCGTACATCATACATTAACGGGACGCGTCGAAATATCACGCTGTATCTTATGTTTCTTATCGCATATAAATACCTCGCGCTTGCACCCGGGAGCCGCTTTAGGCGCACACGACTAAACTCCAAAATTACTCTCTCTCTCTCTCTCTCTCTCTCTCTCTCTCTCTCTCTCTCTCTCTCTCTCTCTCTCGCTTACTTTCGAGAGAAACAGTGTCAATAGTCCACTCACGAAAATTCACTTACAAGGAGTTCACACCTCCTTTAGCATCGGCAGGGTCTCGTCCGCGTCGCTATCCTCCTATCGAGTGTACGTCGCGATCGAGTTATGCTGAAGAAGCTCGAGCCCGTTCGACGAGAGGAACGAGAGAGATCGCTAGATCTCCTAGACAACTAGCGAGGATCGGCCGGATCCCGAGCATGAGGTAAATCAACCGGTCGCTCCAAGTCAAACAGAAGATTGTTACCACGAAATTCCGCGTGATTCAATTTGGCCGGAAGTTCGGGGGAAAACGCCGTACGCGCCTCGCTAGTCAACCCGGCACCCTGGGAGAGGGAGTGTGAGACATGGTGGAGAGGAGAGGAGAGGAAAGAGAGAGAGAGAGAGAGAGAGAGAGAGGGAGAGAGAGAGGCCAGGTTCGCCCTAACGAATCTATCGACAAGTTCGGAGTTTCTCCAGACGCCGCGGCAGCTCTTTCACCAGCTGTCTTCACCTTCTACATAGCTAGCGCGTCTACCCCCGCTTCCCCTCCCCCTTGCAACCTATTCCTTCCTTCTTGCTTTCCGAGCAGTCTCTCGCGCCGGCAAAGGACAAGTCTTGTACCCTTACGATCCGCCGGCCTCGACCCGCAGAACTAAGAAGGGACAAGCAATTTTCAGTTTTCCCCAGCCGGTAACCGAAGACCCAACGTCGTCGTTTATTCGCACAAGTTTCAAATTATTTCAGCATCTGGTGCAGGTGCCGGCGTCGGTAACGAGTTGCGGCGTCACGCCGGCGGTACGAATAAAAGTCTCCCCTGTATCTAACTGCTCGCCGTCGTCGTCCTCGTCGTCCTCGTCGTCCTCGCCGCCGTCGTCGTCGTCGTCGTCGTCGTCGTCGTTGTTTGAACTAGACAAACTGAGCGCGAATCGATGGAACAACGCGAGTCGGAGAGACAGCCGCGTGCGCCGATTCGGTGGCCGGAAAAACGAAGGTAAACGCGCTGTCGCACGTCGCTGAAAACTAGGGTAGACGCATCGGCAAATAACCCGACGGGAAATACTTTTAGCTCTATCCCCTCCTCCCATCGCTCTTCTCCTCCTCCTCCTCCTCTTCCTCCTGCTCCTGCATCCGATTCATTTATTTCTCCAAATAAAAATATTATTTTTACCGTGCGCTTATTTTCCGAGCTATAAATACAACCGCATCGTAACGACGCAACGAAGAGACGAAGAGAGAACGAGCTGGCGGAACTAACGAGCGAGAGATCGCGTACCCTCCGCAGGCATATTCCAAATCGAAGCGCGATCGCGATCGGACGACTCGATCTATCCTTAACCACACCCATCCTGTCCGGGGATCCTTGTTCGCAAACCGATAAACAAATCCTCACCTGGCCGCTAGGTTCGCACAAGCGGCATGGTGTGACGCATACTTTATGGTTGTGTCGAACATGCCCTCGGTACGCGCTGTAACGTACTTGTTCCGCGCGCTTGTTACCGGTAACTAATGTTCCATCCGCCCATTCGATAGCGCGCGATCGTCCAATCGACAGCGGAAGACTGCTGAACCAGAAAGAGATCAAGCGATTGAGCAAATTACGACACGTAGATTGCGAGCACCGCTACGAGCGCGCGGGGGAGGGGTGGATGAGAGAGAGAGAGAGAGAGAGAGAGAGAGAGAGAGAGAGAGAGAGAGAGAGAGAGAGAGAGAGCGACGGCTAGGAGCGATCGGTATACTGTCGCGGCATCGCTAGCGAAATGAACGGGGCAGCGGGATAAAATTTTCTCGTTTTGTGGCCGGCATGGGCGAACGCCCAAACGAGACGATCGGCCATTCGATCAAACCCACCGGGCTATCCGACACATCGTAAACACATCGGGATCTTTTGACGTGCATTCGCAAGCTTTTAACGTCCAGTTTTCGTTAATGTCTCCCCTTCCCCCTGAGTCTCTCTCTCTCTCTCTCTCTCTCTCTCTCCCTCTCAATCTCTCTTTAAATTACATATATAATAACATATAATATAACATATAATAATATATAATAACAAAGAAAAGAAGAGAGAAGAACGTGAATTTCAGTAACGGCTTCTCGCTTGGGGGCAGTGAGAAACTCCCTTCGCGTTGCGCGAGAGATAAAAGTCAGCGAGCGCGTCCTGACTCGCGGTAACATGGCCGCTGTAACACCCCCATTTTTGTGCTGATTAGATGGAGAGCGCGTAACTTCTGTACCGGAGAGTCAGTGTTACTCTTTAATCTCGTTAGGCGCACAGGTTTGGAAGTTTATTTACGGGGAATGCGAGTAGTCAATCGATCGAGATAATTGTCTGATAACATGGACGTTATGAAGTTAGCAAACAAGCCGGAACAAGCTCCTTTAGATCATCCTGAACTAACTGAACGCGGCCAACTTCCAAATTTCCTGCACTTAACCCTTCAATGTAATTTATCGCGTGCAGACCGCAAATGTTTGAAAATGGGTGTACATTAAATAACGGTTAATTTATATAGCAAGCTCGAGAACGGGGACGTGGAAAAATCTCCGAGCGCGTATCTCAAAACGACTGCCGTCGCTGCCTTCACCCGCCTATTCCCCGCCTATGTGAGGAAATCGATTTTGGCAATACGACGTCCGCAATCGCAACTTCAGCCAATGTTTGTTCAATAAACCTCGCGAAAACCGACGGACCAACTAATCCGTTAGCCCGTTGGCTCTCGATCCGCAAGTTATTAATCGCGTCGACTGCAGACGCTCGGCGACAATCCGACACAAGATTGAACGGGGGATTTAGCAATTAGACTGCACTTCCGAGCGGCGAACGAAAAATATCGAAATACATTATCGTCGATACGGCGAATCGATACGCTCTCGAAGCGGGTTACGCGGCGACGGCGGAATCATTTCGAGCGCGTGTGGTACGTATCTCGTACGTGCGTGGAAATAAATTTCGCCGAGGAAACGCCAACTTTATTTCGCTAATGTAACGCGACTCATATCCAGCTCCATTTCACCCGCACACCGGGGAGGGAAATGCGGAGGGAGTCGCGCATTTTCGCGTCGCGACGGATCGCGATAAATAGACCGGACGAAGAAGGCGGGCGGAAGAGGGGGGGTGGGGGTAGGGGCGGTCTGCGGTGGGTGCGCGTCTGTCGATCGATGAGGAGACGCGAGTTTTTGAAGGAAACCGGATAAAACGGGCGACGCACGATGTGATGTTTGCCGATGACGCTTTGATGTCGGAATGACAACGATCAAGTAGCCGCGGCTCTACCGCTACAATGGCTGTGCTATGATAAAGGCGACACTCGCATGTTGTGCGGCCGCGCAACAACAACAACGAGCCGCGTGTGTGTTCGCAACGACAAGCATGGCTCGCCGCGGCGACAACGACGTAACAAATTGCGCGCTCACGCGCGCCGCGGGGATTTATGTAAAATCCGATAAAAGAACGCATCCTCCCCGGCCCCTCCTCCGGCCACCTGCCGCCTCCCCGAGAGAGAGAGAGAGAGAGAGAGAGAGAGAGAGAGAGAGAGAGCCTCATCTTCGCGAGTTTCGCCGCACCGTCCGGGGAGGAATATAAGCGACAACTGCAATTTGATCGCATTAAATGCAATGATACGATCTCACTTCGCCGTCGTCGGCGCGACGCTTATGTGAATTTATAGCGGCACTTCCCCTTCGTAAACTTTTACAGTGACCGTTTCTAACGCGACTTTGACGATACATTACAGTACGTACGCGCGCGTGCGGCAGCGTACGGTACGTACTGACGACGTATCGTACGTACATGCGACGGTAGAATCAACAAAATGCGAAGCGTTATGTACTGTCGCGCGATATCCCGTCGCGTCGCGAGCACATTGCAAAAGCGGT